CTCGGGTCCAAACTGCGTATGAATGTCATGGAGGACACGCTTCAAAGCCATTGCCACCTGACTCCGCCCTGATATGGGGGGCTGAGTCATCCCGCTACTTCGAAGCCTTCCAGACCAAAACTTCTAACGCGCCTCATGCGTGTTATAGTGACGAATGCGCTCAAATACCGTGGGAGTGGAGTCCTATCGGTCAGCCTCACTCCCTTCCCCTTCCCAGGCACCAGTTGATTGTTCAACCCGGCCGACCAACTGATGCTGTGACAAAGCTTAAACAGCACGTCTGCGCGTGCCACTCACGACCTGACCCGGATTTTTACGCCAGGGGGTGGGCTGCCCCGACCTCACATGCGTTAGAGTGCCATAGAGACCACATGGAGACGTAACATAAGAACGCTCTTCCCTTACGTGAGAGTTGCCTATTCCGTAGGGCCGTGGTGTGGGATGTGTTCTGGTAGATGTGTGGTGGTAGCGTTAGGTCTGCGGTGGTTTGCCGCAGATGTGCATAGGTGCACATGTGACCCTGTAGGCTCATGCGGTAAGTGACTGCGCGCGGACAGGGCAGACGGTGGAGGCGGGTGCAAAGAATGTATGTCAGAGCTCCCTGCACTGGTTCGCAAGCCTCTGCGATGGATTCACAAGTGACCGATCACGCGGATACGTGACGTGAAAGGGCGATCGCAATGAGGACAGTACAAGACCATATCCACATTTCTGGTGGTGGGGACCGTTTGGGGTGAGGGTGGCGGTTGACAAGGCGCTCGGAGTGTTCTCTCTGGTGGTGGAAGTAAGAGGAATTGTAGTCGGGATGGTGGTGGTGGTGATGATGATGGCGGTCGCCGTTGTGCTCGCCGTTGGGACTAGTGCAAGGGTGACGATGAAGACGTTTGCAAAAGCATCAGGCGGACGTATTGGAATTTTATTTTATTGTCTCCGAAGATATCCAACGCGGTCGATCCGCTCGTGGAATGTTCGTTGACGGCATGGTTGTTGAGTTCTTGCATTGTGGGCCGGAGGCGCTTTAGACCATTGGCAGTGATTAGATGGGCTTCTGAAATTGCTGCTCTAGTTTTCTCTGCTCTTCTCCAGACCGGCCGGTCCTGGGCGAGATCTTCCCAGAGTTTCGGCTCGATTTACGGTTGTTTTAAAGAGGTTTTTAAGTTGTCCTTGTAGCGTTGTCTTTGTCCTCTTTTTCGGCGAGCACCCGTCGCGACATCGCCATAGAAGCGTCGCTAGGTAGAAGTTCGACGTGGCCGCTCCAGCGCAGTTGGACCTGTCTCAGCATGACGTAGGTATTGAGGATCCCGGTTCGCTGTGACTTGTATACGGATTCCTATCATGCCATTTCAGCTTCTTCACTTAAGCTTCAGTATTCTCCAGAATCATTTGAAGTTGGAGTGATTGGTTTTCCGCACTTTTTTTCCTGTAGTCTGTCCAGTTATCCATTCCATACAGCATCGTTGCCAGAATGACAATTTAGCACACTTTGAAATCGGTGCTGAGATGGAGACCATGACGATTATACACCGAGTCAGCCTGGCTTCAGTGATCTAGTGAGCCACTTCGTCGTCGATTTTGGCGTTCCTTGATGTATCACCGAATTAGGCGAAATCGTTTGCGGTTTTGCACTGAGTGATGTTGAAAGTGATGTAATGTGTTGGGCAACGGCTGGTACGTAATCGTCGTCTTATCCGTGTTGATGGTCAAAGTGTTCACACGTACGTACATGTTCACAGTTTGAGACTAAGTGGTTCATGCTCCGTTGCTTGTCCGATTCTGTCGCGCAGTCGTCCACGAAGAACATGTCGCGGACAGCAGTCGTGGAGAGACGCGTGAGGTCCGAATACGTCGGGCACTGAAAAGCCGGCCGTCGGTTCTGCAAACGATGCGGATCTCAGGACGCCCATAACGGTAAGCATCCATCAACGTGGCAGAGAACATAAGAATGGAGAGGGCGAGTGGAAGTATGGAGCCACGCATTCTCCCGGTGGTTGCTGCGAGTGTTTCTGAGGCCGCTCCGCTGTCCCTGACGCACTATTTGCGTGAATCTCAGAACACCGGGATCTCTGCATGACTTTCCAGTTTTGCTCATGATTCACGGTGCACTAAGACTTGGCCGGGTTCACAAAGGCAGCTTAGAGATGGGTCTTCATTTTTGGCACTGCCCCTGCAATTACAGGGCAGCGAAGAACATGTCAGTTATTCTGTTCGTCGGCTCTCGATTTTATATCCCTACCCAATTTTGTATATATTTTTGCCTCGCTTTGCCGGTCAACTTGGTCTACTCCTGGACAGTTCTGTTTTATACTGCCTAAATTCCACCGTCGGTGCATCACGATGTTCTGACATTTATTCCTTTTCTCATGACTTTGCGCCCAGCTTTACTGTCAGTGTTTTTGACTGTTTAAACTAAAACCTGACGGGCTATTTTTGTTTTAGTTTCCTTTTTCCTCTCATCGAGAAGGAGCGCCTCTGTGAAACGCTTGTCGAAAAAATCTGCGCCCGGTTTCGTGTTACCCAGTGAGTAGAACAGTCTTCCAGACCCGTTTTCTATTCCATTTCCCCTCCATTTATCACTCTTAATAATTTTTCTTCCAAAAAGACGAAAGTATGTCTCTCGCTGGTCGTCTGAATCTGAATCATCCTAGCATCTACATTAGTTTTAGCATTTTACTCGTATCTACTCTTCCTAGTTTCTATTTTTTTCCCCTGCTGACATTTTTAGGACTGAAAGGCAATGGCGTGACCTTGCCTATTGCCTATCTGTGATGTCCTTCAACGAACGCATGGTGCGCACACTGCAGGAAAATCTGCCAATTTTCGCCCAGCAGCTCTCCATTGTGGATGTATATAGTGCATTTACGGAGATTCTATCGAGTGCACGAAAGTCCGCGAAACCAGATTTTCTTCCTCAGCTTGACGAATTTGAAGCCAAGATTAACGAAGTCAGTGTTCTATGCTGATACTTACACTAAGTGCTCCATTTTATTCTGTTTCCTTTTACTGGGTGTATGGTTTTTTAAAGTTGTCTACGAATTCTTCGTACCAATCATTTCACTACGATTATTTTCAAGTCCATATACATATCCAAATACTGTCTGGCTCTTAGGGGTTTTGCTCTGTGTAAAAACTACCGGTCTTGGCAAATCCTTCATTGCAATTTTGTCACGTAAGTGCTATATTCAGTCCCGCCCAACAAATCCGAAAAAAAATGGCGATCACATCTCTTGTTAAAGGCCCATGAGGGCAGTTAATCAACCAACCTTTCGTCTTTTCATCATTCAATGCGTGTGAGACCAATCTGTTCAGTCTTGTTCTGGAGTTATCTAGAGCTATTAGCTACCATCCTTGAAGTCTGCTTAATCATGTCAGGGGCTCATGTGTCTCTCGGTTGATTTCACAGTTTCACCAGAAAGGAGTTGCTGACGAGGAGGCAGTCCGAAGGGCTGAAATCATGGCGAAGCAGGCAGCCAGGCATGGGCGTCGCAAAACGAACATTGTTGCTGATGGGAGAAAAAGTAGTCGCCGTCGTCACCCAACCTCGCCCAATAAGCGTCGCACATCTGAGGAACAGGAGGACGCCGTTTCTTCTAAGCCTCCGTCTTGTGAGGAAGACGAGGCCCCCGAAAGGCCTGTATTACGATCTACCAGGGCCCGCACGCGTGGACACGCTGCACGAGAAGTATTCAGCTCAGATGAAGATTAACGTTGATTTTTCTACCTTCCTCATTTGTATTACTTTTTGAATTGCTCAGCTGGATGCGAACCTTTGCATACACTTCGCGCAGAGTCATCACGTACCTTTGCTCGCTCATTGTGCATTTACCTGTCTATCCTTTTGTATTTTGTTAGTAGGATTGTTTGAAAGTTCGATTTTTGTTGATAACACACTGTACTGACTAGCTGTTTGGAGTTCTGATGCCAAACCTATTGGTCCTTCTGTGTGGTGAATGCAAATAGCAGCAAATCTTATCGGATGCAGAGGATCAGTCACTTGCGCTCCACTCCGTCACCTGTAACCTGTAATTTCTATTAACTACTGATGCATTTTACGCCAAGATTTTGAACCAAACTGTTCTTTCTGTGGGTTACTGTAAAACGAGCTCATCTGCGAGTGAGCTGAGTAGGATTTACGAGTAATAGGCGAAAATCCCACCAGCGCTTCAACCCTTATCAAGTCCAACGTTTTAGTAATTTTTCGCTTCAAATGGCGTAAGTTATGACGCCGTCATTATGGCAGAGGGCACATGACCATGCATTTTTTGCAAAAAAATCACCGTTTTGCAGATTGCGCTGATATTTTGAAAGGGCAGCTTATCCTGCATATAGCGGCCGTGTCGCATACTAAGTCGCGACTGATTATGGCTGTAAGACAGTGCAGTTACTTCAGTTATTGACTTCTTGGAAGACAGATCTTTCAGCTCGCACGCAGAACACTGGCAATTAGTTGAATTCAACGCTCCGCAGGGAATCGATTAGGAATTTGGTTCACGCATTCTCAACGTCTGTCGGCGTCTCCCTTCCCACAGTGTGATTTGCGATTTGTGGAGTAGTTTTTTGAAAATCGTTTCAAGTTCTAACTGGTCTACTGGATATTCTGGCACATGTCGCAGTTAGTTATCGGTTTCCCAAACGAACAGCCGTCCTCTAAGATAGTGCGCACAGAGTTGAGGCGCTGGAATAATTCTTAGGCAGGCATTGAAAAATGAGCTTACGGCTGCTGGGAAGGAAATAGTCGGCAAGAAGGCGGCACCGCACAGTCGACATGCCTCCGTTGGTAATTCGTCTGGGGGCAGTGGTCTGCGGTAAGGAGTGGTCATTTAGGATATTCTTGTGACCTGGCGCGGAATAGTAAAAGATGTCTTTATTTTAAACTTGTGAGAGAATAGTAAAAATAACACAGTTCAAAGTGCATCGTAAATAAAGCGCTTGGTCCTCCAAGTAATTAACGTGCTGGCCTTCACATGTAATTTGTACGCGTTCCGATTCTGCTTTCAGTCCCGTTAGCTTTGTACAATTTGCTTGTTTGCGAACATAATTAAGTAGATGAATGAGATCGCTGTCAATGACATCGTGTAAAACACGACAAGTACTATTCGTGTGAAGAAGTTATAGTCGTATATCTTTTGAAACTGGAGTGAAGACGGTTATCATGTTCTTACAATGTTCTGCGTTTGTGTGCTATCACGTCTCGGTATAGAAAGAAGGATCGCCGTGATAATAGACGAAATTAAAAGAATTCCAAAACAGTTTGAACTTTCGGAAAGTTACTATTATTTGGGAATTTTACCTCTTTCCCTTAGAAAAAATAATAAACGCACATCCGACGACAGTACAAACCCAAAGAAGGGCTAGGATAAGTATTCCTGGGCCCACGCCTAATACCAGCATGTCCGGGCTAGGTTACCGTCGGTAATAAACATGTTTGAATCTCCGCGTTGACAATTAAATAGAGCGAATAAAATCTGATTCGAGTTTCCAAGAGGACCAGTGACTTATTCCTGACGATTATTTGTGGGTGCATTGTGCGTAATGCGGATCGCAATTCAGTAGGCAGACTGCAATTTTTTACTAAAATCTGGATATTTTGATTATTACATGAGCAAAATTATTGGTGATATCGGAGAGAACTGGGCAATATCTTTGATACTACAAAGGTGACTTGTTAGATTGTGAAGACCCAAGAAAATCGCAAGCTGAAAATGGCGAACTTAAGAGCAATATACAAAAGAAAGTGAGAACCGGCCATGTTTATGTTTATTTTGTCTAATATGTATTACGCGTGAGCACGTAATATGACATTCCGTCCGTCTTTTCTGACGAAGTGCACGGTTTGCTACGCAGCAATGTGCAGCAAGCAATGTGACTTTCGCGTGATTTATTTTATAATGAGAGTCGGCTTACGCAGCATCTACCGCACCCTCTCTTCCTCAATCCCCATATGGACCTGATGCCACGAGAGAGTCAAGAAGACCGAGGCGTGGGAGGGCGAGATGGCTGACACGACCGGACCCGCATACAGGTGTGTCACCACACTGCCTGGTCTAAAACATATACTTCACCAACAACAACACCCCAGCAGCAGCCAGAAGGGCGAGAATGACTGGGCAGCCATCCCACCCAACTGTATACCGAGCGCAAACGCATCTACCGTCATGGGACTAGGTGCCCGGGGACTGCCAGCCCATAGCAGGCTACGAGGGCCATGGTTTGCTGATACTGACATAGAACACGAGTTCGGACCATTTGACCTAGAAGAGCGACACTTGGTCTTGCATTTAGCCTGAGCCGTCAACCTTCATGGCTACGTAAACAAGCAGTCGTCGACTGAGAGGCACTACCCATAGAGCACACACACTGTCCTCACATGAATGAGAGTGTAATAGATAGCGTGCGAAAATGCCATGACAGCCTGACACTCAGCCTTTCAGTCCGACACTCCACACAAGAGGCACATCTTGACAGACTGCGTGAAATGATTTGGAGCGTCAGTCAGCTGCCCTCCGTGCCACGGTCCTCTGCTCAACGTTTTCGCCGCAGACTTCGATCGCACATGTAGCAGGCGAGCCGCATGGATAATAAGCCGAGACGCACACTACTAATTCGCGTGGGAAGTGGCAGTTTGGTGCTTGCGGTGAAATGCTGGTTGGGGAGGATGTTATGGTGTGGTGCAGTCGGCTGTTGTCTACCGCAGATCTTCGTGAGCGCGTATGAGGCCTAATAGACTCATGCGGTGAATAGATGCGTAAATGCAATGTGGAAAGCATAGTTGGATGCGATGAATGTAGGTTGGTGCTCCAGGCGTCGGTTCATCAGTCTCTGTGTGATGGATTCGTTAGTGACCGACCAGATCGATGCGTAACGTGAATGTACGAGGATAGTGTGACCATGAGGAGTCGGCGGCGTCAGTATCAGCTTCGGCGGTCAAGGTAGTAGAGCTGGTGGCGGTGGTCGCGCTCGGCGTCGGAGTATGGGTGGAGCTAGGCATGGTGGATGTGCTAACTATGCTAGGTGTGTCGAGGCCACAGTCACTTCCGCTCTCGTGGGTACGCATGTGGCCGAATAGGCCTACGCCATGTCTGAATGTGCGAGGGCAATGTGGGCAGTGGAGGCGGATGCGGCGGATGTAGGTCTCTGTGCTATAAAATCGCAAGGGACCGACCAGGCAGATGTGTAAGCTGAAGGTGAGATCGCAACGAGGACAAGCTTAGACCAGGTCGTCATTATTGGTGTCGGCAGCGGAGGTGTTTATGTTCATTGGTTTGTCCGGATCGCGTGTAATTTTGATGGGCAAGGCAGACATCACAGTGGTTAAATAGCAACCTTAAGAAAGAAATCAACAGGAAGCACAAATTGTGGAGAAAATACTGCGTCACTAGACAAGCTGAATGCTTCAATACCTACAAGACACAGAGGAACAAACTGAGTAAGCTGATAATGACGACACGGCGGGAATTCGAGAAGAACTTGCTACAAAAAGCAACGCAGAACCCAAAATTGCTCTACAGCTACCTCCGACGAACTACAAGGAACAGGCATCAAATCCCCTTGATAAAGACTACTGATGGCGTTGAGATCGCTGATAGTTGGGATAAAGCTGCGTATTTTTCACGGTTTTTCCAATCAGTCTACACAAACGAGGCAAGGTTCCTTCCTCCCTCCACAGAAGAACTGCCGACTCCAAGCGTCAGTGATTTACTCTTCTCAGAAGGCATTGTCCGAAGAGAATTAGAGGCATTGAACGAATCGAAGTCGCCAGGACCAGACGAGATTCCACCCAAACTTCTGAAGGAACTTGCCAGTGAGCTCTCTGTGCCTTTGTCGATGCTCTTTCAAACGTCATTTGACACTGGAACACTTCCTGTCGATTGGAAGCTGGCGCATATTACTCCGCTACACAAAGGAGGTAACAGGGCAGCGACGACAAATGACAGGCCCATAAGCTTGACATGCATTCTCTGCAAAGTTATGGAAAGTATCATAAAGAGTGAACTGATGCAATTCCTGGAAGTTCACGGCCTGCTATCGAATTGCCAACATGGGTTCCGAAAAGAAGGATCCTGCACGACAAACCTGCTGCAATCTCTCCAGAGCTGGACCCGAGCTCTCGACGACAGGCACGCGGTCCACATAGCCTTCATAGACTTCCAGAAGGCGTTCGACACTGTGCCACACCAAAGGCTCTTACATAAGCTGAAAAAATAGGGATCGGTGGCAACTTCCTTAAATGGATCGAAGACTTCCTTGTGGGTCGATACCTCGCATCGGTCAGGAAAAATCAGATCCGGTTATGGTCGATAGTGGTGTCCCCCAGGGTTCAGTGCTGGGACCCATTTTGTTCCTTATCTACGTGGACGATGCCGCAAGTGATTTAGACTGTGAAGTAGCAATGTTTGCGGATGACATGAAGATATGGAGTGTAATTCGGGGTCCTGCCGATGAAGACAGACTGCAGATGAACCTGAATCGGTTGGAGGAGTGGTCAAACCGTTGGCTCCTGCGGTTCAACGTTGCCAAATGTAGCATACTTCGCCTAGGCAACACAGCCAGATCGGCCATTACAAGAGGCTACTTTCTGGGCGGTGCAGCCTTAAAAGAGCTCGAAGCCCAAAAAGGCCTCGGTGTGCTGACGACCAGTTCCCTAAAGCCACCCGCCCACTGCACGAAAGTGGCAAAAACCGCAATGTCCGTACTGTACTCCATCAAGCGTGTGTTTATGGACTTTGACGAAGAAGCTTTCTCTAAGACATTCGGAACATTCGTCCGGCCGCATTTAGAGTACGGCATACAAGCTTGGAGGTCGTGGGCTGTTGAGGATCAAAACTGCCTCGAAAGAGTCCAGAGGAGATCCACGAAGATGGTTAGGGGTCAAAGCTTCTCTCCTTATGCAACCCGCCTAGTAAATCTGAACCTCTTTCCTTTGAGTTACAGGCAACTTCGCGGGGATCTCTTGCAAGCCTTCCGCATTGTAAAGGGGTTGGATTGCAGTCTGGCCTTCGAGGACTTTTTGAATTTGCTACCACGACCAACCTCCGAGGTCACCCGTTAAAACTGCGCACTCAGCAAGCACGGCTGGATGTGCGGAAGTTCTCCTTCTCGGTTCGGGTGGTCAAACCATGGAATGAGCTTCCCGCAGATGTTGTGATGACACCATCTATACAAAGTTTTAAGAAGAATCTGGACATATTTATGTTCCGAAATGGGCAAGAGCGATGAGAAGTCGAGCTCACCCCTGTAACTCCTTCTCATTTTGTCCCACCATTATGGGCGTGTTCGAACTATTTCAGCCCAGAACATCTATCTGTACGCCACAAATTTTTTACGTTGCAAATAGGGTACTCAATGGCTTACGTCTATTTCCCTCAATAAACTGAACTGAACTGAACTGGCTGACGTAGAGGCGGTGGAGGAGGAGGATGAGGAGGAAGAGGTGGTGGTGGTGGTGGGGGGGGGGGGTTCGTCAGGGCGGACAATATTAATTGACGGCGTGGGAGGCGAGGAAGAGGCGGACGGTGAGACGACGGTTGGCGCAGTCTGGTTGCTGCAGTTGGTCAGGAGACGTCCAACAAATCCATTTGGCGCATGAAATGCCTGTTGACATCTCTGTAGAATTTGTGTCTTTTCAGTGAGGAGGGTACTGCCATCGTCGTTGAGAAGAGGTGCGGTATCTCTGGCTTGCGTACCGTAGACAGTTTTGATTGTGGCGAAGAAATCATTCCATTCTTTGCAGCCCGCGTACCCTTTGATCTCCTCGGACTTGGGAGCCGTCCAGGCATCCTGCATCTCGCGCAGCTGCTGTTGCACAAGACGGCGAAAATGGTAGAAGGCTGCTTTGTTGTGGTCGGTGGAGCGATCGACGTAGGCTTTGTTCAGGCGGTTCTTCTCGGCCAGCAGTTTGCTAATGAAGACTTCGCAGTCGTCGAACCAGTCCTAGTTTTGGCGGCGTGCGCGACCATGGACGGCCAGCGCCGCCGGCTGCCATGTGTGCCGCAGTTGACACCATCGGTACACAACGGAGACGTTCTCGCCAGTGGCGGCGGTGACGGCAGCGGTGACGGCAGCGGTGACGTTAGCGGCAGCAGCGATTGGAAGGTTGGCTGGCCATTGGGTTAGCTTGTTGTTGAAGTGGACATGACGGGCAGCCAAAGGCAACAAAGCAGTACTCAGCTTATATAGGGGTCGATTGTCTTGAAGTCTCCTGCAAGGCGGTAGGCGAATTTGCATCTCGGAGATGATGAGGCGATGGTCGCTTCACTCGTCGTCATCCGGTATCGCCTTTTTCATCTGCATGTCCCGCTGGTTTCACCTACTGACGTGGACATAATCAAACAGGTGCGACTGACGCGACCGATGATGCATCCAGATGTCCTACCCTCGCATCGAGAGGCGGGTGAAGGTGTTCCGCGGAGGCTTGTAGAGGCGGCAGACCATTGTCATTGGAGCCGCTGAGACCATGGGGACCCAGCATTCCTCTCCAGTTAGCATGGTCTGTGCCGACGCGGTCGATGAAGTCACCAAGGACTATCAACTTGTCCGCCTTCGACACAGTCGCCAAGAGGGCGTACAGGTCCTCGTAGAACTTGGTCCTCGCCTTGGCAGGGCTGGTCATCGGCGGAGCGCAGGTGCTGATGATGGTGGCAAATTCGCCTCCCCGAAGAGACAGGCAAAGGCTCGTCAGGCGACTGTTGATTCTCTGCGGCAGACAGTGCAGTCGTCCCACGATATCCTTCCGGATATCAAAGGGGACTCCCGTGTCCTGTCACTCTGCCCTGGGACGGCTGTTCCAGAAAATGGTGTAGCCGGTACCAACCTCCTCTAGCTGGCTTTGTATGGATAACCGGGTATCGCTGGGTGCAGTGATGTTAACCTTGTTGCTTGCCAGTTCCCAAACGACTGGCGCCGTCCTTTGTTCCGGTCAATTGCTCCTCGGATTGTCTAAAAGGGATCGAACCTTCTAGGATGTCAGATTTAGTGGGCTCACCCTAACAGTCTGGTGAGTGGAACGACGGGGAGGGGGAAGAGGGAGTGTGTTGTTTCGATTTCGATTGATTCGACAGTGTGTTTTGCGTATGCGTTCAGGGTTAGTCTGCAGACGACGTGATTCCACAGCATTTGTTTAGGGCGTCTTTTCTAGTCCCTTCCCCTTTGCGGGGCAAGCAGTGCTCTTGTCCTAAATAAGGCTGATCAGTTGCCCCAGGCGGTCGCCGAACTCTACTATAGGCCATGGCTGTTTTAGTGGGAAAACGACCCGAGTTAGTCTGGAACAGCTTACGACATCGCTGGAAGCTATAGGGGGGGGAAGTGTAAAAAGACGGGATGCAGAGCTTTCCCGTCCTTCTCTATGTTAACTGGTTGCTGAACTATAAGCGGTGGGCGAACACAATCAACAAAACGACCTTTAGCTTACAGTAATGGCGGACACGAACAAGCAGACGTAAGCAGCAGACAAGAACAGTAAGAGGCAAGGACAACAGACGAAATCCAAAGGAACGGCATTTACATTTCAACGAGGACACATACGAATAAGCAGACAGAGAGTAGGCAAACAAGCACAAGCAAAGCAAAGGCAGAAGAGCAGCTAGCCTTTTAGCCTCTTACAGTGTGCCAGACGGAGCCTCGTCTCGACGGTGACGATGCGATGATGCATTCGGCCAGTGAGGCCGATGTTACGTGTGCGGAGATGCACACACGGATACCCTCGCCTGGTTTAGCCCGCCGGTGGAGGCTGTTACTGGGGTGTGGCTGCCAGGCAGAGCTTAGCTTCAAGAAGCCACATGTAAGAGTTGCGTGCCAGCATATGGATGCTAGGCGAAGTCTACGCCCGCAAACAAACGAGCGACCTATTACTTCCGTCATGTGAACCTACCGCTGGACGCTCCTACACTCCGAGTACGTTATATACAAAGTCTTCAAAGACATTGCCTATTATCCTAAGATACACTGAACTAGAAAAGTCCTATTTTAAATGCCCAGAGGAGGCTCTTCAAAAGAAGTTGACAGTGAGCCTATAGCCATATGAACGGCGTAACTTAGGAACTGAGCTATGAAAATTCAGAAACGTTCATCACCCCCGCCGAAAATTTGTCCGTTCATATAGGGCAATTTTAATAATAACAGTTTCCATTTATTCTCAATTAGAAGGCTTTTTAAAAAATGTGATCTACGGTTTGGAAGTGAAGTATTTATTCAGGAAACCCTAACTTCACGAAGGAAACGGTGCCTTGATAATTGATATGGAGGAGCAGGATAGGTCCTTCCTAAGGGTAAAAAGAAACCCTTTTCAAGTTAGTAAGTGAAAACGAAGCTATAGGAGTGCGCCTGGGGATTCTAGGTAATGGCAGATCCAGATTGGGAAGGACGACTGAAAACCCAAATTGCGACCCCGAAGGTGCTCAATTCACAACCGACTCTGATTAGGAGTTCGCATTGCCGATGCACACAGACTGCGACCGGCTGTGCAGGCCCATGTTGACTTAATTGCTTATTATGCGTATTACTTAACATGGCTTATGGAATTCTTTTCTTAAAGATGTCGTTTATGTGTTTTCGACCTCAAAGTTTGCCCTGACCATTGATTTATCAAGGCACCCTTACAAGTGAATGTCCCGCCCCAAGGACCTAGTTTCAAAGTATGTCAATCATTCAGGAGAAACAGGGGTGAGCGAACGTTGCTTTCGATAACTCCTCGTCAGGCCAGTACAGTTAGATGGGACGGGATACAGTGAGTGAAAAAATCGATAAAAGTTACTTATTAAAATGCAGGCCAGGCAAGAGCTGAAGGGTGGAAAATGTTATGTGGGGTTAGTCAGCCTTGGGCCACGGTAAGGGCGGAGCCTGAACGAGGTTCTTCTGGACGCATAGGGTCGGTTTTCTTAACCTGGCGGCGGCTGCTTTTGCTGTTGGTAACGGGCGTTGACCCAGTTTCCTAGGGTAGCTCGAAGGGACCTTATAGATCACACGAAACGCTTCAGCGGGGTCCACACGATGCTCTGAATCCACTGCATGCGCAGGGTGGCGCTGCTTATTCTCCTAGTTTCACCTCGTGCCAACCATGCGGGAAGGTGCTCACGTATTCTTTTGGAAAGTGCCAACTCGTACAACCAATATAACCTGCTCAACAGAAGCAAATGAATGAGTAGATGAACATTGGGGCGGTGTGAGGTGGCATGCCGATAGAATTAAATCCAAATCCGCCCAGATTTGCGTATTTATTTCTTATAGTCTCCACCTTCGTAAAATTAAACTATGATTTTATCGGATGCTCTTCTTTTCTGTGACCAAAATTGCAATCTGGGACAAGTTACCCAGAAATGTGAAAATTCTGAAAAACCGTGCCTTGTTTAAGAGAACTATGAATTGTTTTCTGCATTTACATAACCATCACAATTTATGGGTGCTGAATCCACCGAATTAATCTTCGGTGGTCATGGAGTTCGTGGTGTACGATACATCTGCTCAGCCTCTTCTTGTAAGAAGTGGTTGACTCTGGAGCCCGAAACATTATGGATAATTTCTTCAGCCGACAGTGATGGAATGTTTGCTCATGAACCCTGCTTGGTGGAGTTCCAATTCCATGAAAAGGGATAGAGACTGAAAACATCTGATACAATGTTAACCGTTCTGTTTCTGGACTGACGTCAGTTCAGGGGATGCAGATTTTCCTCCCGAACCATTCAAACAACAAAAAAACACTACAGCCGATATTTACTTTCTCGGGAGTTTTTTGCTGTTAGTCCGATCCATGCTGTATCTTTGATTGACAATACCTGGTGGGTCACCCAAGGCAGTTGATCGACAGAAAAAAATGAATCTAAGCGAACATTGCGCAAGTCATTTTTGTCATCATACAGACCATTCCCAATAAATGTGCCGCGACCGCCGACGGTGTCTGGTTGTCCAGGGACTGTCCGAATCGAATGCAGTCAGACCTAATAACCGGGTCTCGGAGATCGAACTTATTTTTTGGCCTACTAGACCACTTGCTTCAGCCAGAAGTGTAAATAAAAGTCTTGAAAGCATTCCAGATTGGGAAAAAGGAGTGAATGTAGGCCAATTGCACTACCAATTCGTTCTCTCGAAATTATGCTGTTGAACAAAGAGAAATTCAAACTGATCCTGTCCAAAAAATCTCCCCCGAAGCATGTTATTTTTCTGTGAAGGACACACCGTGCGTATGATGAGACTAAGCACCTAATAGTCGTGTCTTTTCTATGTGCATTCGCGCGCTTGCTGCTCCACACTTGATGCTTTTCTAGATTTCAGCGG